ACAAACTTATTGGCAAAGTTAAATAAATTGTTAAGATAATAATTGTTAATAACTCCGATGGACTTTTGTGTTTTTGTCCAGCTCATGCCCGTCGGTGATTTAGTACTCTAGGAGCCCCCTTCCTTGAGGACCTGGACCAGTTACAGGACGGGGCTTTAAATAGCATTTTATGCTTCGCAAAAGGTTCTACGTGGTTTTAAACCCTGAGGTTTTTATTATTTATATACGGCATCACAATGGGCCAATAGGCCTAAGTGGATCCACTAGGGATCACCGGTATAACCTAACCTAACCTAACTCCGATGGAGGAATATAATTACTATTTTTTAGTTTCATTAATTATGATAATTTGGTATTCCTGCTAAAATTTTAAATAAATAAACAAAAATTGTTCAAATCCAGACATCTTAAAGGTCAATATATTTTATTGTATGTTTGGTACATTTCTTACTAAGTCGTCATAAAGGTGATATGGAGTTTACAACCCATGATTTGACCAGATTTCACTAGATTTGGTTTGAGGATTTTCAATTGCTTTTTATATAGGTATTATGGACTTCCGAATGTCCGTAAGAAGTCTAAAGTTTTATTGTAGTTGTTTTCAAATTTATTTTCTGTGAGAAGTTCATATTATGGGATGCAGTATGCCAAGTCCATTTCATGCAAGCCAAGGGCTTTGTGAAAAAGTAGGGTATACCATAATGTCGTCATATATCTTGGAAACTTAAAGTGTTTCTGTGATTCTGATTCTGATTGTTATTGTGTTTTTTTTTTGTAAGAAGTTTAAAAAAAGTTGCAAATTTTTCCTTTTATTGAAATCTATTTTTGTTGCTTTCTCACCATTGTTTAGTTTGATTTTATGAACTTCTCGTTGCTGTGAGCGTGTTGCACTATTAAATCGCGCAAAGTAATTTATTTTTTTCGTATTCCAATATGTAGTTTGGTTCATGGCAACTTTGCGTGGTTTCATTTCCGCTCCAAATTTATGGTAATCTGTCTATTGCGCGTGGCCTGCTATGTCTTAGTATACCGAGGTCCGTAACCGAGCGTGAATACGAGAAACAAGGAACATGTGCGATGATGGCGTGAGAAAACAAATATAAAAGCACGTTATAATGCGACTCTGTGGCGCAGCACTACGTCAAGGGCATGACGACATAAATGGAATTGGTGTTGTTGTTCTGAGGTTTCTGGTGTTATGAGGAACGCCGCGGCATGTGATTGAACTGTAACAGGAATTGGGTGCTAGCTAAATGCGGTTTTATCGCGCTTCTGCTATTGTGTGATACGCGTGGGCTTTTGGCACATATTTGCAATAACTCCGATAACAGTTACAAACCAGACGCGTAAAATAAAACCTTTCAATAATGTCTTTAGGGTTTATGGATTCATTATACAGGCTTCTGTTTTAGTATGCCATTTCGATGTTTATTGCAAAATTAAGGCGGTGTTGTGTACACTTCGGTAGAAGTTCCTGCGTTTCTACTTCCCTTACTATTTTTCCAAGTTCATATTTCTGTTTACCCAATTGACAGCAGGTGCAGCTTCGTCAGCTTCGTTAGCTCGTCAGCTGTTTTCGTTGTGACACAGTTTTTGTGAAATTAATTCAAAATTCAAATTAGATTCAAAGCAGTTAGGAGGATAAATCAGAGCTGAATTTCACTTTCTTTAATATTTAAAATAAATTCACAGGCAAAGTGTATTAAACTTGCCGTTGAGTAGAATTTATGTGTGCCAGGCACTTAGAATTTGCAGGTTTCCGTATGCTGTATTAGACGTGTTGCGTGCCGGAAGTGTCGACGTATTAAACAACATAATTTTCCTGTTATTATTAAATTATTTGTAATTTAAAGTAAATCAAATTACTGTACATTTAGATTATTTAAGGCGTGACATTTTTATAACTTAAATAATTTTAATTTTTTAATGACTGGAAAAATGTGTTTAACTTACTTTCTTCCGCTCTCTCACTCTGACTCTCTCTCTCTCCTTCTCTCTTCTGTGTCCATATCTCTCTTTCTGCCTGTATGCAATGTCATTAAGTAAATTAAATTAAATTTTGTTAAAAAAATGGTATTACTTTATAAAGGATTTTTCCTTTCACATACAAATCATATTCTTTTGTCCTAAAGTCCCAATTTTTGTATATCTACTGATTGTTCGATCTACTGATTATGTGTAGTGATTTTAATTTAATATTTAGAAGCTTGATTTTTTTTAAAAGGTGTCCCAATTTTTTTCGATCTACTGATTATATCTGGTAATTTCAATAAAATATTAAGATATTTTAGCGTTCACATAAACGTTGCCTTTTCATCCTTATTTTGGTCTATCATATATGATTTTTTTGGTCCTTTAGTCACATCTTGAACGTCCCTTTCAATTTTTTGTATTTTAACATATCTGGAAATATTTTAGTTTTTTTATAATGATGACTTGTTATAAGTTATCAATTTCCCTATTTTCTCTATCTGACCCTTTCGCTGGGCATCCGTTTATTAAAATAATTCTACGATCTTGTGAAATGGTTTTTTACGTTGTCAAACCTATTTTCCACAAAACTCTAGAAGGACAATTTCTTCATTAAATTCTGCACATATTTTCATATGTATATGTTATACAACTTGTAACTTTGCTTATTATCCATTGCGATTAGCCACATAGGGTCCTACAATTAAGATCAAATGAAACATGCGAAATAATATATATTACTCAGACACCTACGTTGCATACCTCCATAAGTCGAATGTTCTAAGAATAGTGATATCCATCAAGCAGTATCCATTGAACAAGGTAACGAACGTTAGTTGAATTTTAACAAATATTTTGGAAAGAAATTGGGGCTATAATATAAACACTACCATTTGGGAGACTAATTACAATGTTTCTTGATGCTATCACTTTTTGATAGCATCACTTTTTAATAAATTAAATGTATATAAAATAGAATACTATTATCATTGGTGCACATACGGAAATATTAATAGCTGAATCTTAGTTGACTAATTGTTAAATTGAATCTGTGAATACTAGAGAATCATATTTCACAACCATATTCCATTATACTGCCAGAGAAACAAATTATTTTATAAAACATTAAGGAAAATAATTAAGTTATTTATTGAGAATGCCCGTGTCTCCTAGACATGAAAAATTATTAATTTTTCTATGTATAAAGTTGTAGATATAAATCTTTGTACGTAAATAGTGTACATTACTTTGATTGTGATTAAGTAAGCAAAAACATTATCTGAACACAATAAATCCTCCAAAAGCGGCCAATTTAACGTGATAATAACCTTATAATCAGTTATACAATTTTTCATCTAGTGCAATTAATATTCTTCTATCTATACTCATCAAGGACCGAATAGTAATGGGCCCTTTTCGGTTTGTGGCCATGATATTGTTAATACTATTTTGGTTTTCGGTTGTCTTCATAGCTAATCCCTCTAGATACAGACAAATTTCTTAATGTAGTCGTTTGAGAAAGCAAAAAAATGTGTCCAACTACAGTACTTATTTTGCACCAAATTCCCAGTTCTTCCCACCTATTGACTTTCGACGTAACATAATTTTGTTCAATCCAATTTAATCATTAAAATCGTCAAACAGTATAACATTTTGATTCAACTGACTCAACTATTTACTTGATCGTAACATTACTTTTTGGCGAGGGCTGACTAACCTTCAGCTAAGACACAACTATGGTATTAACTACTATTAGTTGTCACACTTTTGTTTAAAATACTAGTATTTGTAATCTTTCGTTGAGTAAGTGCCAATAAAACACTCTACTAACAATCTCTTTACTCTACTAGCAATTTTAATGTTAATACTTCTGTTATGTTGTTGCTCGTCTTATCACCTTAAATGAAGTAAAGAAACCATTCCAAATCTTAATGCATTAAATAATGGTTAATCCAATCTATTATTTCTTGAGGAAAGTAAAATAATTAGTTAATTTACCCTTGCCCGCTCCAGCTGCACTTTTGTATTACACTCTTGTAATTCTTCATATCTTTCCATAGTTGAAGCAGTATTTTCGTTTTTATTCTCACATTCCAGGTACTAAATCTGTTTGATAGATTAAAGAGGCTCTGGTGCCATTCCTCCCGAAATGTATACATGTATTTGGCACGTGCAAGATCTCTGTATTTTCTGCTAATTAAGGAAGATTTATTGCTATGTAAGGATTGGCATTTGGAATAATGTTTCAGTTTCTGTTTTCTTTCCATTGCAGCCAATAATATGAACTATTATATAAACTATATACTATACTATAATTATAAGCAATATTTTATATATAAATAACTAATAAATTTTTTGAATAATAATAAGAAATATATTTATATTTTCAGACTTTGTGGCATTGGGAAAACTGCAATCGTGGCGCGCCGATCAGCACACAAAAATGGTGGTGGTGGGTTAATACGAGGTGTGTGTGTGTGTATGTGTGCTAATGAAAGCCCTCCATCTACCGACATTATACACAAATTGCCGCCACCACCGAACGAAACAGAACTATTGACGAATCACCAACTGAACGATCAATTTCTGTTCTATAAATTGGAAGATATACCCATTAGGTTATTGTGCGCTAATTCTAATTCTATAAAACTAAGAAAACAGAAACAAGTGAATAATTTTCAGAAGCAACCACTTCCAAAGCCTGTAAACTGCTGATCTAATGCCATTCAGTGCAGTCAGTTAACAACCGTCCCAAAAAGCTACTTTCGTACTACGATTATTTACATATACACTAAATGTTCTCCATTTTAAAATGCCACTGGTCAGAAATAATGCACAAACATATATTAGCAAACTCAATAAAACTGATAAAGTTAAATAAAGAAAACTTTAATATACAACACTAAATTAAACTAAAATCTGTAAACTTCCTGCCAAAAATTATATATAAATAAGCAAAATATTAACCAAATAATCAAGAAAACTCTATCTGAAGTTAAGTAAACTTATTAAAGTGCAAGTTAACTGCAATGCATGCAAATGTAACATCTGATCGAGGAGGTGGCGGCGGTGGCTCTTGGCGTTTGCCACCAGATGAAACACTACAGGTGCAGGACCCCAAACAAAAGGACCAAGACTTGGATCTTGATGAGGGTCACAACTGGCGAAGTATAATCTTTTCGCTTTTAGTTATAAGCTTTGTTATTGCTGGCATAATAACCGCAATTTATTTGCTGGGGTAAGTTTCAAATGTGCTCGTTAATTAAAAAAATTTATATATAAAGAATATATAATTTTATATAAATTTTATATACATATACAGCCAAACTTCCATTATTTGAATTTTTATAACCTGAATTCCTCTATAACTCGAACAAAAATATTGTCACGTGACAACGGGAAAGTGCACTCTATAACTTGAATTTTTGTTTTAAGTGTGAATCCATTTTGGTGTTAGGGTAAGTCCCTTTTTCAAAACCAAATGTTTGAATTTTTTCTTCCTTATGTTGCTGCTTTGTTCAAATGCCAATGCCTGGTAAACGGTAGTCAAACGATAGCGCACTGCTTTAAAAAAGCTGGGTTTGTGACGAATTTTCTACATGGACAAACAGGACGACATTCCTTTAACTTTCTTGAAAAACATTGATGAACACCGTGAATTCATGTAAAAATAAAATAAAAGTAAAATAAATAAAATAACTTTCAATACTACTCCTAACGATTATATTATATTATATTGAGCTTGGCAATGAAATTTGTACATCAAGCTTTCCTACAGATGACAATATTATTAACCATTATAACTCTGAATGAGTGGATCCAATTCTAAGTGCAACCGATGATGAGGGTTCGCTGGATGAAATTGTTCATCAGCTTTCCAAGAATGAAGTAGAAGAGTTATTCAAAATTCTGAATTCTTATTTGCAAACGAAGGATACTACAACTGATGTGATCATGATAAGAGTTTGATTAAATTGGAATCCCTTTTTACTGAAAAAAAAAAAAATTTTAAACCCTAACTTCTAAATATTTCACTTCACTATAACTTCTATGCTGTATTTGATTGCAAATAACAAAATATCTCTAAATATAATTCTAATTTCTTTCAAAAATAAATAAATTCTCTAACTCAAAGTCTCCAGAAGTCGGACCTTTTCTTTGCAAATGGTACTTTGAATTATGGAAGTTTGACTGTATATATTATATGTTATCTATATACTATATATGTCTTATATATGTATATATATATATATATATTTTCTTATTGTAATAGTATAAGGTACTTTCGATAACTAGAATATAATGAATTTTATATAAACAAGAAATATTTATAAATTTCTTTACATTAATATTTATATATGCATAAGAAAAAAAACTTATCTTAATGACATTTACAATAAAATAGTAAAGTTATGCATAGCAAATCACATACAACATACGGATTTAATAAACAATTAATTTATTTAATATTAATTTGGAAATAAACTCCTTTAACTCGCATTTGAACAGTCAGTGCTCAAATTAATTCATATACATTTACATACCTACACGAAAGTCAAAGCAACAGTACCAAAAAGTCGAAATAAGAAGAACAAAATATAAATATAATTTACTACTAAATTTATTTTATATCAATTATTAATTGAACTTCTTCACTCCACATAAGCTAGGTATAAATGCTCAACTTATATATTTATATACCACACCGTTTAAAGTAGCAGCACCAAGAACACGAAAAAAGGAAAACAGAAAAAGAAACGTAGATGAAGAATACCTGTTGAAAGCTATATACACATTTTTAATGTTAAAAATATTTATAAAAAATAAACAATAAAATCTATATAATATTTAAAATAAAAAGAAACAAAACAGGAATCGAAGGAATAAAAATGAAAAAATATAAAATATTTGTATTCATATAGTTTAAAGTCGCTCTCTGGTGCACTAACAGGCCACGCCGACTATAATAAACACCTACACAAAAAAGGTATATCCAATACAAATAATTGCAGATTCTGGTGTGATGAGGAAGAGTCTATGGAACATCTGATCACCAAAAAAAATTTTAGGTACATATTAACGAGAGGATGAAGACCTTCAAAAACTCCCTCCGAAGGATCTGGTTCCTTTCCTCGAGATACTAAATGGCTAAATACAAAGGGGTACACAATAAATCAAGCAGGTCATAGTACAGAAAGGCCTAAACTAATAATAGCCTAACCCATAAATCATTACATTACAATTATTATAATTTCTTCTATATTTGTTAAAATGATTTAATTTTTTCTGAATTAGCGAAGAACAATCAAATTGTGAAAATGTACTTAAATTTAGAAATTACAAAATCAGATAATCTACTTGCTCTTTACAAATAAAAAGTGGAGATCTTCACAAGGATTCGTTTAAAAACCAAAGACTCTGATTAAAAGCAATGGAACAAAACACTACACAGTGAAGAAATAATGATTATGATTTATTTGTAAGTCTAAGGCAATGGTTAAGTCATAAAACTATAAAATACGTTCAAGACACCTGTGAGAGGATAATTTGATGGATAAACCTTGACAAAATACTGTTTTGTGGATCTTAGCGAATAAACGAGTCTAGAGACAAAGATGATATTTTAAAAGTAACAGTGATTTATGGAAAATATATTAAAATTAAGAACGTACCGTTTAGCAATATAAGCATCTGTTAGATGCTAGAGAGGTGAGGTGATGAAAATGACTACAACTATAGTACTCCCCAGTAATATGATTAATATCGGTTTGGTATTGTATGTAGAATTGCGTGTTGAAATGTAAAATTAATTCCACAATGCTTTCAAATCTTTGAAACAAAACATAGAGCAAAAGAAGTAACCTATAAAAATATAGGTAAAGAGTCCAGCATTCATATTTGTTGAAAAAAATAGTGCTAAACATATATACATATACAAAAATTTGTATATTTTTTTATGAGAGATTTAGTTAAAAAGCGTAAAAATTAAGAACTATTAATTGAAAGTTATCTTAGAACATTTAAAGGGATTAAAAGATAGCATACTGCATTAAGCAACAAATCTTCAAAATGCGCAATATTTTCAAAGAAAACACTATAAATGGACATTACTATAGAGATTAGTTTTTCATCCCTATCTTTGAATGAAAATTATATATTTTAAATAATTAAAGACACAATAATAATACTAAGTACGTTGAATGTTGTGTAGCATAAATTAAATCGGAAGATAGTACTAAGTTGGAAAAAAAACTATGCAGATACCGAAACACATCAATACTTTCCGTTACAAGATTTCATAACAATATTGCAGATTGAAAAAACAATTAATAAACTAAAAAACTTTCAGGAGACTGCAGTAAATGTCCGGCTTTGGTCATAGATTTTTCTTTGACAGCTTACCTGACTGTTTATCAGTAAAGATGAAACACCTATTAAATTTATATAAAATTTGATTAGATGCATTTAGTCTGTATTCATCTATCTTAGGGTTTCTTGCAATGAATGTGGTAGCTAAACGGTGAAAAATCCAAAAGACAACCCACCAAAAGACTTTCATATGATAGAAAAGGTCGAAGAATTAGTTAAATATGTACACGAAAGAATAATTATGTCGAAAGTCTGGCGTACCAGCATGCCAGAGAGAAAAACCAACTGGAAGCAAGTAATTTGCTTACTGGAGAAACGCAAAGAAAGTGTTGAATTAAAGACCTTGAAAACCTTGGAAAATTACAATCTGAGATAACCATGAGATTGGCGAACAAAAAAAAAAAAAATAAGCCCATAAAACAAAGCCAGGTGTCATAGAAAAAGATAAAGATGAAAGTAATATTTAGAGCTATATATAAAAAAATTAAACACACGAAAACTGTATAAGGATCTTATAAAAAGGCAATATATTCACTAATAAAGTCCTAACGGCTAAACTCCAATAGAACATTTTAACTAACGTATAATGAATAGCTATAACTGGTATATATTAATATCTATCCTTCAACTAATATCACTCAAAAGAGTTGTAAAGAGATTCCTATAAATTTTTTGATTATGATATTATTGCTTGAGATCAAATTTGCTTTCGTAATAAACTTTTCCATGATAATCTTATATAAATATAAATCTTATATAAACATTAATATAAGTAATAAAGTAAAATTATGTTTAAAAAAAATAATAATATCTGAATCGTAAGATGGCTTTATATTAAGTATTAGCCACAGCAAAAATAGATGGTTTTTTGCATGTTCAAAATCCCACTAAATAATAATTCATTATATTTTAGTATTCAATTAGATAATATAAACCACTGGGCTGCTAATCTTGGGGGCTGCAAACTCATAAATGATCTATTTGGTGTTGATACTTACCACTATAATGCAAAATAACTTTTGATCAAAGAAATATCAACTTAAAGAACAATCACTAAGCTTGTAGTAATCTTAAACATAATATCATTATTGGACCTTTAAATAGAAAAAGAAATAGCATTATTAATGAATTGGGGGGAAGTAATAAACTTGCTTTAAATTATGCAAACACTAACAGATTTTCACAGTTCATCTATAGTTACTAATATCACCATTAAATTGTCGTCTTCTTTCAAAAAAGATAAGCCATAAGCAATAAATTATATATAGGAGCTTTCTGATATAACAACCCTTTGGTCGAGATACTTGGACAAGATTCATAAAACTATTATATGAATTATACATATTATATACCTATGTATAATCTACTTCATATATACTTATTCTCTTCACTGTTGATTAGTTTGTATAATGAATCATTAACCAGATATTCTATACACATTGTTATTGAAAAACATACTTTTATATATAAAATAGACTGGGTTATGAAAAATGGTTGTCACGCTTATTCTCTTTCAGGAAGTTTGTGATAAATTTTTTGTATTAAATCTCACTTTAGGAATACTAACACTGCACCATTACAATATATATTTATATATATATGTACATTATATATATATATATATATATATATATATATAATAGAATTGGTTATAATAATTATGAAAAATGATTGTCGCGCCTATTCTCTTTCAGCTAGTGATAAATTATGCAGCAAGTAAAATATTAAATCTCATTTTACAAGTAAAAACAGTTCATAATTAAAATATATATATATATAAATATATATTGTAGTAGATTCTATATAATAGACTTGTTGTAATTTGTGCTGAAGACAGTATTTCAGTAGTTATTTAAAACAGTAATCAAGTTAATTGCAATAGTTGAATACATCTTTATTCATAATATTCTTTATAATATTTAAAGTCTTTAAGAAGGATTTTATGGGCTTCTTCGGGAAACAAACTCATTATGTAAATTTCTGGTAGTATGATTTCAACTGTGTGGATTAAAACTATAATTATGTAGTTTATGCATTACATTAACATTAATTAATTTTTAGCTCCTTGTATGTATAATTGAAATTTTTTGTGTTTAAAATAGTAGTATATTTAGCTTTTATAATGCTTCCAATTTAACTAAATCGGCTAATCAAGTGGCATACATTTTTATTTTATCAATGAATGTTAAAGAAAATATCTTGCGCTGTTTTCGGTGAAAGTTAAATTGTGTCCATTGATTTCTAATAAGATTTTTCTTGGATGAAAGGAATAGTTTTTGATATTCTCCGATCCAAATATATAAACTTATAAGACATTCTTTAAAATATTGCTCAAATCTATAATAAGTCAATGAGTGTAATGATACTAGATCAGTTTAAATTACATATTTGCAAAGTCGAACATTGAATTGAAACATCTTAAATGTTCCAAAATATTATAATGACTAAGTGCTCTTGGGGTCCAGCAATGCGAAATACACTAAGACAAACAGTTATAAAAAGTTAATGTAATTAATGCTTGCAAGTACTATAAATAACACCGTTTATTGTGATAATAAATTTGATGGGGGTTCTATTATTCGAAAAACCATAATATTATTTTATTTATTTATCAATGTTGCTTTAAATTTATTAATTTCTTTCAAAACACGGATTTCAGTACCCTTCATACTCATCATCAATTTCAACTTAACCACCAATGAAATTAAAAGTTCAATTATTTCTACCCAAATTACTTCTTATCTTCATTCAGATATTCAGCTTTAACTAATCAGATAAGGTGTGATCCACATAAAATATCAGTTCAACATTAAATTAGTGACTTAAATACAATATATATCTATACATAATAGCAATAGATATTGAATTTAAATATGAAGATATAATAAATATAACATTTTTACACTTTTAGTTATGTTGACGAACTATTATATTGGTCAGGCAGGCGCATGATACTCGATGAGTATTTACAAGGTGACCTAACGCCAACAAGACTGCAGCCAGCGTGGGTAACAACCAGAAAGTATGTCTTCCAATCGGATGACGGCGGATTGGCTGTATTAAATACCGCTACGAATTCGGTTAGCACACTCGTTACCAATCACACACTTAGACAATTAAATGTACGTGGCTATCAATGCTCATATGATCTGCGATACGTTCTCTTTAGGCATAATGTTAAGAAGGTAAGAAGGTTAATTCTGAAAAAAATTAAAAAACTTAAAATTTATTTTTATTTTAATAAATTTTTCGCAATTAGATTTTTAGAAAATCATTTACTGCATTTTATACAATATATGATGTTGAAAACGATCACCATATGCCTGTAAAATTAAAAGATTCCCCCAAGGTACAAAGAACAAGACTGCAATATGCAGCCTGGTTGGGAAATTCAACCTCACTCATTATTGTAGCTGATAATGATATATATTTGCGACAATCACCCATAGAGGAAGAAGACATACGAATAACTTTTACAGGCTATCCAAATGTGATGTATAATGGTGTGCCTGATTGGTTATATCAAGGTTTGTGAACACTATTGAGAACATAATGTACATGGCGTTGCTATACAAATATTGTCTTTATAGAAGAGATTTTCAATGAGCCTGAAGCTATTTGGTCATCAGTCGATGGTTCACACTTCATGTATGCTTCTTTTAATGACACTAACGTGGGTATGATGACATACCCATGGCTTGCCTCAGGAGCAGTTATATCTGGTATTGGCATGTCGTCCGGTAGTTCATTTCCAGAAACGAAAAATGTCCGTTATCCGACACCAGGTACTGTGAACCCAGAAGTAAAGCTGTGGGTAGTAGATATTACGAATTTAACAGATATACAGTTTAATTTACTTAAGCCTCCGCCATCATTGGATGGGCAGTAAGTATTGAATAATTACATTAATATAATTAACCTTAAGGTGTAATATTATTAACTTAGTAGTATTAAAAATATTAGTAAATTTAAGAATTTCTTTTTAAAACCCTGTAAGAGATCTTAATCTGAATATCAAGGTGTTGACATCAAGGAGAAATAAAAAAAATTTAGAAAAGATATATCTAAATTGCACGATTTTAATGTATAAAAATATTAGCAAAGAAAAAAAACTTTTTAAAATAGTGAACTAAAAAAAGAAATCAAATATAACGAAGGATCTAAATTAGAAGTAATGTTAATGAAGTTGGGAAACCAATACTGTAATCTCTTAAAGAGGTTATAAGATTAAAGAATCTTAAAGTTTGAGAGCATTGTCAAGAGTTTTGGAGAATATAGCCTCGTTTGAAAATTAACATTAATTTTTTCAGTGTATTCAGTGAATTCATCAGACACATTATTTCAGATCTTAGTTTGGATTTTTTATTTTTGTGTCAAACTCACCACACTTCGTATCCATATATTAGGAATAATATATTCATCACTTCTCTAATCTTAAATTATAGTCAAAATGTAACTAAAATCCATTGTTTTCGACTTATTTTAGATTTTTTTGCTTATGTGTCAAACTCAATACACCCTGCGTCTATGTTAATACTGCAACATAAAATCCTGCAGTAGTTTTAGGTTTAATAGGTGATATTAATTTGACAGCATCTCTTTAAGCACATATCACATGGAAGGTAGACTTAATATAAGAATGGAATTATAAGAAACCATTTGTTATGGTTCAAACGCTTACCAATAACAACAGAATTTCACTACCGAAGATTGACGTTTAAATTAGTTCTTTTATAACTTTTATTAAATTTTTAATAGACTTCTAGAATATAACCCATTTTCTTCCATAAAAACCTCTTTTACTTAATTCTTTCTAATTACAGAGATTATTACATAACTTCAGCTGGTTGGGTTACTGAGCATAATCACCAAATATCGGCAGTTTATATGATGAGGTCTCAGAATTATAGCATAATATCTTCGTGTTTCGCCGATACGAATTGGACGTGTGAAGAGGTTAGTTACATTTGAATTTATTTTAATAAGTTAATATGACAAAATTTTTATATAAAATTTATATTGTATTCTTTAGATACACTCAGAACGTGCACCAGAGGACGAATGGCTAGACATCTTACCACATCCTATATACGCTCCAGATGGTAATAGTTTTTTACTACTGGCTAGCGTTCAAGAATCTGGTACAGAGCATTTCACTCATATTAAACATATAACAATAACCCAACAAAGGATATCTGTTATTTCTCATGGCCGTTATGAGGTACGCAAGGACTTATTAAACCCTTTAATTATCTTATTTGTAAATTAATTAGGCATTCGTTTAAATTGCTTTTTTACACACAAAACTCGTCTATATTCTATGGTGTTATTCTTATTACAGGTATTGAAAATTCTTTGTTGGGACACGGTAAATCATTTGGTATACTATTTAGGGACACAAGACAAAAAGCCTGGGCAAAGACATTTGTACATAGTGAAAGATCCTGTAAACGACGACAGTCGAAAGTAAGTTAAATTATTTTATTTTATAATATTTAATAGTGTGTTAACATTACGTCTTGCATAGAACTGAACCACAGTGTATTACGTGCGATTTGGGCGAAGCTCTTTGGAGTAGTCGTTATTATTATGTGAATTGTTCGCATTTCGACGCCTTTATGACACCAACGTCTTCCATAGCAACACAATTCGGTATCGAATTTTATATATTGGAGTGTCAAGGCCCCGGATTGCCTGTATCAGGAGTGCATTCACATAAAACGCACAGTTTAGTAAAAATTCTATACGATACGCGCCCATTTTACACTGAACGATTACAAAAATTGGCACTGCCAACGCAACGTTCATTTGAAATACCATTGCCACACGGTAGTCGCGCCCAAGTGCAATTATTGCTGCCACCAAGTTGGAGAGAAGAACTAAGAGATGCTGCATTTCCAGTAATTGTAGAAGTGTAAGTTTCAAACATTGTTTTTAATTTTCAGTTCATTTCATGATTCGATTTTTTGTAGAAATGGTCGGCCAGGTTCAGAGTCTGTATCCGAAAAGTTTCGTATTGACTGGGGTACTTATATGTCATCTCGTAATGATGTTATATATGTGCGTTTAGATGTACGTGGTGCAAAAGGACAAAGTAAAAAGCAATTATATAGGCATTTAGGTGGTGTGGAAGTTCAGGATCAAATTTCTGTGCTTAAGTAATTCTTAAATAATAATTTGCCAATATTTTTTTTAAAACTGTTTTCTGTCTCTACAGATACCTGCTAGATACAATTTCTTTTTTAGATGAAACCAGAGTGGGCATCTGGGGTTGGGGTTATGGAGGTTATGTTACGTCTATGGTGTTAGGCACACAACAAGAGGTGTTCAAATGCGGCATAGCCATTTCGCCGATTGCTGACTGGTTATATTACAGTAAGAGATGAAGGCGTAATTAATTTAATTTGGTCAAAATATATGCACATATTATTTACAGATTCTGCTTTCACTGAACGTATTTTGGGGCTCCCAGCTGAAAACTTTAAAGGTTATGTAGAAGCTGATGCTACACAACGAGCTCGTCTCATTAAATCGCATTCATTCTTCTTAATACATGGGTTAGCAGATTCAACGGCGCCTTATGTCCATGGAGTACAGTTAGCGAAATCCCTAACAGATGCAAATATTTTGTACAGATATCAGGTATGTAAGCTCATTAGCGGCAATAAAAATTAATTTTAAAATAACAGCAGTAAGCATTAGACCCCGTAATAAAACTATAAATCCATAAGTATAAATTTGAGTGTTAAAAATTGTTACATAAACACATTAACAAAATAGACTAGTAATTTCTATAATAATGCTGATAATCATTTTAACATTCGGAAAAAATGGATTTAAAAAGTACGATCGTCTAAATTTGTAACTGGGGAATAGATACTAACCTATACCGAGAGAAATTGAAAACACTGATTTCACTACTCTAGTTTTATTTACTCTTTCAAATTATCTTATTAAAAGCATATTCTTTTGCCCTTGACTTGATAAATTTAGGAATTTAGACGCATTGTTACGTCAAAACCGATTGCTAATATTTATATATTACTTTTATATTTTCTGTAACGCTTTGTTGTATAATTTTAATAAAATTTTAAATTATATTATCACTATCAAAATTACTGTATATTGGTGATATAGAGAGTTCATAGTACCCCATCTAGTGATACTATTGTCAGCAGTGAAATTTTATCTATTTTAAGAGTACCATTTTAAGAATATCGCAGCAGGCTGTAAGCAGATGACCTTACTGGAAGAGTGTGCTCAAATTCTGAAAGATCTGAACATACGGTATGCAAAAAATAAACTGCTTTTGAAATCTTTCTGTATTAAACAATTTTATATAAAATGAGAAGATTAAAGGATATGTAAACAGCTGTAGGCAAGTTGACCACCCTTAAACAAGGAAAAATCTTGCAATTTCATTGAGGTATTAGGTATATTAAGAGATTAATCGGTTTTTTAACGCATCTTTGTCAGCTAGGAAATTACACTGGCAGATTGAATCTTCTCTCCAAAAATTCCTTCTACAACTTTTGAATAAAATAAAAAAGCGCTTCACATTTACTTTGTCATTGGTTATCAATAAATTTATTTCTCTGAGAGAGTTTAGTCACCTACAATATTAAACATGGTAGTAACTTTCTTGCTGAAAGACTTTAGGCAGCTACAAGACCTCTCCTTAAAGATCATCTTATATTTTATTAAAATTTACTTAAAGTTTTATACCGTAACACAAAAAGCCAATGAGTTTTATTGGATCTGCAGCCACGGGAAAGACGAAAAAAGTTCTTAGAGCTATTTTGTCACTGACTCTCCAGCATACTTTCCAATGACTCTCCAGCATACGAAAGTAGATCATAATAAATGATCGTCTTTTACAGCATATTAGGTTTTATTAAAGCCTCCAGATGCTTTTATCAAGTTTTATATGGTTGCGCAATTGGCCAATAGGCCTCAGTGAGAAATGTTAAGTTTCAAAACCTTTTTGTAATGCGCATAAATATCTCTTATTTATTCTCAATCTAAATATTATAAATATTAATATATAACAATAACTATTTTTAATAAACATAAATACTGAATAATATTTTTTTTCCCTTAACAGACTTATGCAGATGAAGGACACGATTTAATCGGCGTTCTTGAACATGTTTATTCATCGATGGAACACTATTTTGCCGATTGTTTAAGTCTTGATCCTGACGACACTAAACCGGATTTGGATCAAACAATTGTTCCGACTGAATAACAACCGTAAATGTTTCAAGTTGGCATCGGTTAACTTGAAATATCGAATATATAACAAGTGCATTACTCTAGCAAGTATATATACATACACGAATATGTAAAACCCTATATATATTATGTATAAGTTTTTACATATGCTCTTATATACATACATATTCTCGTAATACCTATATTTATTACTTTTCATTTATAATAATTGTTGACTTAATTCCTTTTAAAGAAATCCCTCCTCGAATTAAAATGTTAATCATGCTCTTATTATTGTATTAAATAAGTAAAGGGAATAATATATGTACACATGTACATACATATATATATATATATATATTTATTTATGGCTATGTATATAAATGTAATATATTCGTATATGAATGTATATTCATATTTATATATGTTTAGGCATAAATACGTATATATTTTACTCATATTTAATGTTAATATAAAATAATTGTATGTTTATGTATATTTATTTTAAATTGCTCAAAGAGATTATATGCTCGTATGTTTAGGATTAGTTATTTTATTATTAAAAAATATGCAGATATAGGAAATATAGAAAATATAGGAAAAAAGTTTATTAAAATGAAAATAAAAAAACATAAAACACAACAACGTAAACTTCTCAATCGACTTCTTACAATTAAATATTAAAAACTAAAACTTGATAAATGCAATATATTTATGTACATATGTATATCGTTTAGATCTGCGTACATATATGCATGTATATATATGCATTGAAAAAATATCTACAACGCGATTTTAACGATTTTTATTCAAAAGTTTAAATATTTACAATGCATCTACATATCATTAAAAATCAGAAAGCAAAAAAACAGACAGCACTGAAATTTATATAAATTTGTATTTAATTACAAATAATGTATTTGTGCATCCTTTCCATTATATTATTTACTTTATTTACTTTATTTACTTTAGGACAATAATTAGGGGATTTTGATTTTAATGCATGTGCTGAGTAAAGTCTACGATGCAATATTACCCCCTCTCCATTCTTTTTTAAGCTATCTTATAGTCGACTAGAATAGGAGAAGAAAAAATAAGATTTTATATTTAATAATAAATGAAAGGATTGAAACCTTCCTTATATAAATTAATTTTCTTCAAATTTTTTTAAAAAATTTATATAATATGCATAACGTATATTCAATTATTCATATGTTTCTACTAGTTTTTTATTAATTAATTAATTAATAATTAGTTCTTAATTAGTTTTTAATTTATTTATTTTTTAATAGTTTTAGTTTTATTTTAATTTTTGACCTTAACTTTAGAAAGGACTTGAATACTTACAGACTCTTCTCCCTTCCAAAAATTTTATCACTTTTTTTTTATAATCGCCCACAAAGTGAGGAACATCTTCCTTAATAAAGTGTAAATTAAAAGTTTTAAAAATTGACTATATTAAATTCATTCAATTCTAGATAAAATCCGAAATATTTTTGAAAACGTTAAATTAAACCATTCTCATACCATTCTCATTACTACTCAAAAGTTAGTAAGTTCCGTTGCAAAGTCTTCCAGTTATATGTCAAAGGTTCTTGTCGTGCTTCTAAGATTTATTGCTTCCATTACGCTATATCTTCTTAAACATATGCTGTTATCGTACTTACTTGTTACTACCATATGTTTGTATTTACTTAAAAAAGAATAACAACATAAAATCAGTATCGGTTTTGTATTTATATTCTAAATTAATACATTGGACAGTACAATGACTGATAGACCTAAATAGATCCATTCTGTCATCGTAATAACTTAATATATTGGACACTAAGGCAAAATTATAATCAAAAATATTATTTGCAATGCAACTTTTTTTTCTTACTTTTAATTTGAATTTAGTACCTGGATTTTGTCTCGTTTACGATAGGTATATTTTACCTCGAGAATATTCTAAGCGCTTTTCCGCCAGGATAGTCACTGGCTACAATTATTGGTAATATCATATATAATATAATATTACATATATCAAGGCCAGGTAATCTCGTCCTTAACGTATGGAATTTTTATGTCGCTCTTGACTGAGCTTTTGACTGATATACCTATGAGATTATTATGTTAGAATTGTAATGTATGTAATGTAATGGTTTATGGGTTAGGCTAAGGACTTTCTGCACTACGACCAGCTTGATCTATTGTGCACCTCTATGTATTTAGACATTTAATATCTCGAGAAATTGAACTAGCTCCTTTGGAGGTAGTTTCTGAAGGTCTTCATCATCTAGTTGATATGCACCTGTGGCGTAGTGGATTACAGTTGGTGATCAGATAATCCATAGACTCTTCTTCAACACAGCAGAATCTGCAATTTTTGTGTTGGATATACTTATTTTGTGTAGACGTTTATTGCAGGAGGTGTGGCCTGTTAGTGCACCAAAGAGTGACTTTAGACTTTCTTTGTTTATGTTTTTTGGAATGATTTAGATATGACTAAGTCTAGGTTTGTGTCCCAGGAGCCAAATCATTTTTTTCCTTCTAATATTTTGTTGATAAATTTTTGCTTTGATATCAAAATATTATCACAGAATTTTCTTGAAGGACAGATGAAGCATTTAGTGTTATTGTGGTATACTCTTATCTGTTCAGCGTAATAGTAACATGAACATATTTTATTTATCAACCTAGTGTCCCACTTGACTTATAAAATTTATATACATGGATATTTAAGAAAGTTCATTTTGATTCAATATAATCGCTTACATTCATTTGATTGAGCACATGTAAACTCTTCTTTTAAATAAGATTTGGTCTTGTCTGGAGATCATGCCCTTTAATCATGAAAAATAGACGTAAGTTAAAATTTTTTTTTTACAAAGGTTTATGTTTTTATTGAGCAAGTATCTTTGTTCCCCATTAATCATATACATATATAGATTTAGATAACAATACTGGCTAAAAATCCAAAATGCTTTATAGACAATCCCCTTAATGAAAACTTATTTTTATTTCTTGTTTTATTCTTTTTAATCGTTGTTTAAATATATTTTTAATAACATCTCTAACGTTTTTGACATCAAATATTCAAAAAAGCTTATAAGATGAAACTTTTAAAAAAATTAAGATATGTGGTGAACTCATTAATACAAAATTGAGTATTTTCCACAATTGAAAAATAATTCTTTAATTTTTTTGCTTGTTATTTATATTGATTTTCATATATAAAAAAATATAATTAAATAAAAAGAGAAATAATAATGATTATTAAATTATAATGAGCTTTTTGCAAGACGGGAATTGAAATTTTAGCATATTGATAAATAATTTTCTAATTTTTTTCTGTACTTATACAAAAATCTTTTCCTATACAAATAAATAAAAATGGTTTTTTTTGCGCTTGATATTATATATAAATAATACAAAAGAAGAAATCTGGTTACTTATGTTCAATATAATTTATATAATTATACAAAAGAAAAAAACACAAAAAAAAACTTAAATAAAGAAAAAAAATATTTCAAATATTCAAAAAAAATTAATTAAAAAAAAAAATTAAATTAAAAAAGGAGTTAAAAAATCAAAAAAATATTATTAAATAAAATATATGTATGTATTGTATCTTATTTATTATGGCCAAATGGTTGTGAATTTCGCAATTAGAGCTTAGGATAAAATTAAATTTAATTTAATCAACATTAGTACTTAAATCTATACATATATATATATATAAATATATATATATATATATATTAAATAAAATTTAGTATAACTAATTGTTATTTTCTAAGTATATTATTTAGGATCTTTTCAAAACTTTCTAACTTATGTTTTATTTATTTAATACTGGAGAGATAATTATAGATACTCTTAAATACGTAAAATAAAGCAGGATTATTTTTTGAAAGGGCAAGTTTTAATTTGTACACTGCTCAAAAAAAAAAAAGCTGAAATACTAAAAGTTAATTACTGAAGTCAACAAAACATAAATATAAATGCAAAAATTAATAATTGCTTAATGTTCTTACCAATTAACAATTTTACGAAGGAAAATATACTAAAAAATAGTATAAACGAAATTCAAATTACGAAATTTTATATCAATCAAATATTGCCTTGATAGTTAGTACATATTTAATACAACAACAATAAGAAATTGAATACTAATTATAAATTATATATAAAAAATAAAGTAAATGAAAAACATTTAAAACCAAAATCAAAATATTCAAGTATTTAAAAATTAAATCCAAATACTAAATACATATTTTATGTAATTCAAGATATGACTTCATAATTATATGTGAATTTACACTAATTATTATAGATATGTTCATATTTTGTAAAACGTTTAAAGAAAACTATGTATCTTACCATGAACACAAACGATTTAATTCGCAATGATATTTTAAATCATTAATTGCATAAAATGTAAAATGCCCATCATTTTATCTATAATTGAAGAAAAAAATGCAAACAAAAATAGTTAAATGTATTTGAAAGGATACAAGAAAAATGACAATTCAGTTTGCAATGCCAAGTATATTTTTTACTACAACACTCTATCAATATCCTTATATTACCCAACTAGGTACAATCGTTAAGATATCGCCTTGTTGATCAGTACGTTGTCATCTTCAGCTACAGGTGCTATATTTCAAATTTTCAATATATAAATACATTAGTTTTTGCGAAGGATACTTTAGTGTTCTAGAGAATCCGTTTTAAAATTGTGACTCAAATTAATTAGTCACAAAAAAATACATTAGTTTTTGCGCAGGACACTTTAGCGTTCTAGAAAACCCGTTTTAAAATTGTGACTCAAATTAATTAGTCACAAAAAAATACATTCGTTTTTGCGAAGGACACTTTATTGTTCTAGAGAACCCGGTTTAAAATTGTGACTCAAAATAATTAGTCACAAAAAATACATTAGTTTTTGCGCAGGACTCAAAATAATTTTCACTTATATTATATATTATATACGTTTCAGAATTAAAAAGACAAGTGATAGTAAACTGCTATAAAAATGGATTTTTGGGCTTATAATCGTACCGATAATAGTTTATTTTTATTAAGTATGTATACTACGATAATAATATTGCCGTCAGAAGCAAAGCGCTAACTTCTACCTCAACTACTAATGCACTTCTGGATGTTATCGGTCACATTCATCAGTTTACATACAG